CTGCTGCAGGAAACCTTCACAATGGAAATCATCAGGCCAAATGTAACACAGAGCTCCTCAGACATGGGAAAGCCTGGAGGTTACAGGTTGCAAAAATCACACTGGAGCTGGTGTATGTTCAGCTGTCTGTAACCCAGGGACAAACAAACCCCTAACCTTTGCTTTGTAAATCTGGAGACCTGAACTTTTCTCTGTTCCCTGTTTTTTGTTGTTATTTCTTGGCAGATAACACGCAGAATATCTACCGGGTCAGCCCAGATGGGTCTCTGAGAGTCACCTTTGCCAGTGGAATGGAAATCACGCTTAACACGGAGCCTCATATTCTAGCAGGGGTTGTCAGCCCCACTTTAGGGAAGTGCAACATCTCCCTTCCTGGAGAGCATAACTCAAATCTCATTGAATGGAGGCAAAGGAGGGAGCAGACCAAAGGCAATATCTCCACGTTTGAGAGAAGGCTAAGGGTAAGGCTTCCTCTTGTGTAAAGTGCAGTGTTCCCTTTGAATGCCATTGAACTAAATCATGTTGAAATGTTCAACTTTGTAAGAAGAGCAATGGAAAGTTTGTATCAATGGTGGACTCCAGCCATGAATTTCAAAACCAAAGTCCTCCGACAGTCGCAGGGATGTTTGATCTCTGTTTGATTTTGGTTGTGAGACTTGACTTCAAGACATAATTACTTTTTTTCTTCCTCCTCTTTTTCAACTAAGAACTTAATTATGGCTTTGGAAGAAGCTGTGAGCAAAGGACGACGCGTAGTTACTCTGGCGCAGCAGCAGAGTCAAGAGCCACATTCTGCCTCTCTCAGATCTATCAACCCTCTTTCTTCTGGAGGAAATACCAGGTGCCAGCCCCTGCCTGGGGCAGAGGGTCTCCCAGGGCACACCTTGGGTGTCCTGCCCATTGTGTTTCCTGAAAGCCAGGGTGATGTAGAGCCTCCCTGTGTATCCAAACAGGCTGTACCTTCTGCCCTCTTCCACACACCCTCAGCCCCCTCGCTCCCTCTGGCTGGGTTACACTATGGCTCTAATAGAGAATTCCTTTAACATTGCATCCCTGGTTTATATTTATCTGTGAGGAGAACTCACAGATTACAATGACAGATGGTCAACATTCAGCATTTAATTAGGTAACACCAAGGCTCAAAGAGACTGCTACCTTGCAGAACATGTTTTTTATAAAATCAGTTCTGTTTTTCGCATGAATACCCCTTAAAATGCCTGTACCAGTAGTACAACTGGGAATTTTGGCCTTAAAAATATTGCATTTTTAACTACAACCTTTCTGGATAGGTGTTATCTCTGAAGGTACATCTGTTAGCTCTGAAAATATAGAGATGGTTGTTAAAATCTCTGGCTTGTCTCTTGGTTATGAGATACTATATATTTTTTGAAAAGTGTATCATCTGTTTGGTTTTCAACCACTCTGATCAATCAAAAACACAAGACTTGGATGATCTGACCAGGCTGGCCACTGCATGTGAAACACCTTCCAGATTTGACAGTCACAGTTACTTTATCAGGGTCTTGCAAGTGGGGAAAAGCTTCATTTAGTTTTTTGTGCCCACCTTCTGACTGCCCTCATGGGGTGAGTCCTCATAGCCCTGTTGAGGGAGGCAGCTGAACTTATTACAGTGGCAAACGTGTGTTAAGACAGCAGGATCCAAACAATGGCCTCCGTGGCTCATGTTACCTAATCAATTGATTTTTGTGTGATTTTGTGCTTAAATAACTGGATGCCACATTTCTCTTTAAGAATCTTCTGTAATAAAATCTTAAATGGAAAGGATGTAGCCAGTCATCTATTCTGCTTACATTGCCAGGGCCAAGTTGTTCCTGGCAGTTATATTTAAGTACTTCATCCTGCACAGTTTTACCATTATACTGTTTATATTTTCTATTGTTGAAATTCATCGCAGGTTCTTTTAACTCATTTTCATTTGCTTCTGCATGATCCTTAATATTGCCTGCCAAAAAAAAAGGAGTCAAATTCACAAATTGGTCAGGATTAAATGGATTCTGTCCGGAGGCATAAAATGTTAAGTACTGCAACACTGAAGCTATCCAGAGCTCAATGGATTGACCTCTAGATCAGCCTGTTGGTGCACAGAACCACTCGTGTACTCATCCTCCTCCTTCACCTTCATCCACTGAGAGGATGGAGGGTGAAGGTGAAGTGTAAGAATGATTTTGATGTGCCGCTGCCTTACATTCTCTGTCCTTCCAGAAGCATCCACTAGCATCACAACAGTTGACCATTGTGTTGCTATTTCTGTAAATTGTGTCTTTTTATATGTACCCAAGATCAAGGGGGCTTATGGATTGTCCCTGCCTACCCAGAAGGACAAGTCTGCTGCTCGTATTACGATGTAATGTACGCTCCCTTGAGCGTACTGAGCTCTAGGACCATCTGTCTGAGGGCTGGCAGGGCAAGGCTGGAGGGAACCTGGTGGGACAGAACATTAAATGGGGATTTGATAGTGGAAAAGAGGAGAAATATTCTGCACATAGGCTACACCATGTAAATAGACACAAGAGAAAGGGACAGATGGACTATCGAGGCTGTTACTGCCAATAAGAAGGACTTTGGAGGATAAGTGAAATGTGTGGGTCCTGGAGTTCAGCTTTAGCATTGAGCACAGGATGCTGATGGAGTGGGGAGCTGGTGGAGGTGGAAGGCGCTGGATCCGTGCAGCTGGCGAGGAAGGCAAAGGAGTGGCAGAATTTACCCAGAGACAGCTGTCTTTCCGTGGTGATTAAAGGGAACATGCAGGACAGCAGGAGCAAAAATACCATTGTATAGTGTGTTTGAAGCAGTACGCCAAATAATGAAAGGGATTTAGGGCTTACTGTTGACACAGCCTGGTGTACTGCTAGGAAAAAAGATGTAACATCATTAGAAGCCTTCTGCTGGATGAGGTTCTGGTGAGACCTTCTGAAAACTTCTAGTGAGTTATATTTTAAAAATAAAGTTTTTAAAGACTTAATATGCCATGACTGGCATAATAGGAAGTGTGTTAGAAAGCTTGCAAAGTAGGGCAGAAAGAACCATGCTGAACTTTGAAAATATATGTAAAGAAAAGCTCTAGGGGTTGGACCAGTTCTCAGTGGAAATGAACAGACTTGCAAGAGCCCTCCATCAAAGGAAAAAAAACCAGTGCAATGGAAGAGTTTTCTGAGACAAAAAAAAATAAAAAAAAGCATAGAAACGAGGTTTAAAGATGTGACTTAAAGATCAGTCCCGATACCATCATTGAAACAAATGGCTTTGAGTGCTAAGAGGTATAGATTAGAAGGCAGGTAACTGGGGATGAGGTAAAGGATGACCTAGTTGGAGAGAAAAAAGCTTTTCCTTCTCTGCCTGGTCCTAACATTTTTGATTCTTAACTGCAATTAGCAACCATCTTGAAAGCATGTCACTCTATTAGTGTTATTTCCAGTTTTGGAAAGCGGCCACTGTTAGCACGTTCTGAATAATGCTGTAAACATCGTGGTTTAAAAAACGGGATTTTTGCATGGTGCGAATTCCCTGCTCTAGAAATAGAGCAGAAGTGAGTAAGTTAACTGAAAGGGTAAGAACAGACATCTAACTTTATCGCAGTATCTAAATCAGTGTGGGAAACAGGAATTAATCACAGGTTTCCTTTAAGTGCAGAACTGCCTGCCCTGGCATTTCCTGAAAGTATATAAAACAGTCAGCAGGCATGTATGCATTTTATATTAATAATAAATCTACGTACAATCAGGCATTTTAACATCAATCTTAATCTAGCAAGGCTTCTTTTTTATCAATTGAACTGCTATTTTAATTGACTTCTAAAAATGAAGCAAAGGCTGTTGTTAAAACCGATGAGCATGATGCATAGTAATATACTGATTAGGATGCAGCTCTGTTCCCCCCTGTGTTTTGCATAACTTAAGAGAACTTGGCATTGGAGGCAGTCCAGGTTTTATAACTGAATATCTACAAAGTTGAAAACTGAATGCTTGGCCAGTCTTACTTATTTTTGCCTTTTTTTTCTTTTTTTTAATAACAAAAAAGGGAGTATCTCACTGGCCTCGATTCAAAAGTCCTGCGGATACAGGCTCTGACAGCTATGTTTATTATTACATTTAGCAAATGATCTCCCTCTATTTACCAGTCTTACAGCAAGTTCTGATGATAGGACCGAATCCTTTGCCAGTGTGTATCAGTTTATGTTGACTCACAGACAAGGAGATAATGCAATCATCGCATCTGATTTACACATTGGAGACAGTTCAGGTCTGAGAATGAAGTCAAGAGGAGTGCACATTTACGTGATTATTTACACCGCTAAATTTCTAGCTATAAAACTGGTGGAATTAGAGTCAATTAATGTTTAAAAATTTATAATAAATATCTCTTTTCATGCACTATTGACATTACTCTTGAAATCAGCTGAATTTTCTCCCTTTTTTTTATCAGCTGAAATTCTGACATTGCTTTCAGAAACCAGTTTTCCCTGGCTTGTAACAGAACACACGAGCTCCAGGCCCTCGCAGGAGCTCTTTGCTATGTTGTATGTGCATTGGAGGAGTCATCTTTAAGAAGCCACTGGGATTTGAAATCAGCTTTTCAGTGACAACGTTGAAATGAGACCTGCTACCCATCTTAGGTTTTCATTCTTATTTGCTGTATCGTCCCTGAAATTCAGATTGCAAGCAACTTGTATTCAAGACTTTCCTTTCTCCTAACCACATTCTGCAATAATAATAGCAATGAGAATGTTAAATATGCACATAGATAGTAAATTAATGTGGGCCAGGATATACCCCCTGCTTGTTTTTCGGTTATTTTACCACCAAGAGGATTTGTTTTCAGAAATTGAAAGAAGTTTGCAAGGAAATATAATAAACTTAATCCATCAGCCTGTATACAAGCAAATCTAGTTGAACTGAGCATCGCATTTTACTTGGGCTCCTTAACTATCATTAGAGCATAAATTGTAATAGTTACAGCAGCCTACAGGGGTATATAGGTATTTTACAGCTATTGTAAATGAAGGCTGTTAAAGTTAGACGTGTGTGTATATAGAACCCCAGGAATGGGGGCTGAAGAAAGAACACCTGCTTCTTCTAGATTTTCAAATTATTTTGTATCTAAAAACAGAAAGGTGAAAGAAAAAAAGGTTCTTTCTAATCACTCCCACCATATGATCACAGCTTGAGTTATTAAACAGATATTCTTAACCATTTACTTTACGGCCATGGCTCCAGGTCTCAGTGAGGAGCGAGCACCATGCTAACACCTGCGCTGACACCATCCCTGCTGTAAGGAATTTATTAATTGGAACAGATTAATACAAGTGATGAGATAAAATGCAGCAGTTTAAAGCAATGAGCGCATTGAGCATTGATCTGAAAGAGACAAATCAACGGACAATGTTTTGTGGTTCCCTAAATTATATCTCTGATTGGAATGGAGTTTAATAGTGATTGCCCAGTGACTGAATGATGCAAGGAGGAAGATGATGAAAGCACTGGATAAATATATTCTGTCTTCATGAATCTGGTGCAACTTTGAACTAGATTTCAAACTGCAAATTGAGCTGCCCCTCTGCATTTTCCTGTCGAACCATTAACATTCAGAGATCGTGGCGCAGTCACTCTGTTAGTCTGTTGGACACAGCGAGTTTAACAAACGTTGTAGGTCCCAGAGGAATATGGCTGGCTGCACCCGGCCCCGCTGCCGTGGCTTTCACGAGCTCTGGTACTGGGGTGGTTTCATGAAGTACGAGGATGCTGGTGAGCAGGGTCTGTGGGAGCTGCAAGCACAGCTCTTCCCTTCGCGGCGTCGGTGTGGGACCTGGTGCGGGCTGTCCCAGAGCTGGAGCTGGCCTATCAATGTCAACAGAGCTTAAGTGAGAGGATGTGAAATAGGATAACTTGGTTAATTTGAGGGCTTAACTACACATCTTTGGCTGGAATCAAAAAGTCCACTCACAGAGAGATGAAAGGTGAGAAAAGAAGAAAAACTTAGGAAAAGGTGAGAGCAGAACTGAGGGTTTAGCAATGGAAATAGGAAACATCAAGTACAATGACACTGAATGCAGGAAGCATTTTGTTTCTTGGTCCTCCTGTTTCTCATATGAATATTTTTCTGTTTTCTTGTGTTTAGTAAGGCCTACATTTTCCATCATAACATTAAACCACTGCACATTTTGTTTAGAGCTGACAGAGAAATGTTTGAGTTGTGTGTCATTAAGATGCGTTGTTTTCTTACCTCGCTGTATCTTTGTGTTTAGGCCCACAACAGAAACCTGCTCTCCATTGATTTCGATCATATAACCAGAACAGGAAAGATTTATGATGATCATCGAAAATTCACTCTTCGGATTATGTACGACCAGACAGGACGCCCAGTTTTATGGTCACCCATCAGCAAGTACAACGAGGTCAATATCACTTATTCCCATTCTGGATTAGTCACCTATATCCAAAGAGGAACCTGGACTGAGAAAATGGAATATGATCCAAGTGGGAACATAATTTCCAGAACATGGGCAGATGGTAAAATATGGAGTTACACATATTTAGAAAAGGTAATTAATTTTAAAAGTGGATTGTTTTACCAAGGCAAAAGTATTTGTTTTGATATAGATATTATATTGTGGACTATGTTATCATGCTACCTCTTGCAAGAGTATTTAGGACTTTTAAAACAGAAAATGGATGTGATTGCGTAACTAGATTAAAATGTCTCTGGACATGCTTAGACCTACGTGTCACCCATTCAAACCTGCCATAGTTTAGTTCTGAAGAAAGTTATCAGCACCTCGGATTTGTTTAACTGGTAGGTAAAAATGTCTTCTTGGTCTCAGTCTGAGTTCAAATGAACAAAGGACACCCTCTCTGCGTAAAAAAGCCTTGCTGCTCTGTATAACGTAGTCAAAAACATTACAGTCACTGAAAGGGAACTTTTTGCTCCCCACAAACACAGTTCTTTTAAGCCAAAATTATGAGGCAGTGAGTACAAGCTGGCACCTGTTCAGTGCTGTGCTGTAAAAAAGGGATTGATCCTGCGAGGAGAAGGATTACTTCAGTATTTATGACACCCATTTTGGGGGGGAACATTAATATGAAATGAGTGATTGCTCTGCTTTTATAGTGACTTAGTGTCTAAATTTCCTGAGTATTGTAATTTTCATTTATGTCTACAGGTAATGGTCACAAAATGGGCGAATGAGTGTTGTACAGCCTAAGGAAGAAGAGCATCTCCTTCATCTGTTAGAAGCAGCTAATTTGGTCTTATATCTCTCAAAACCAAAAAGCCATTCTGTATTTTTAAAGCTTTCAGAACTTAGTGTGAAATTGTATTCAAGCAGCGTCCTTTTAACCTTTTTTTTTTTTTTTTAATAGCAACATCTTGAACTATCCAATATACCCCGGGTTTGCAGAACGTTTTCTCTGAACCCATTAACCACCGGGAAAGGCTAGGAGGGGGGCAGGTGAGGTAACACTGATAGAGGGTATTGCATGCAGCAAAGCCAATGACTTTGAAGTTATTTATATATTAAAAAGTTCCAAATGTGTACTTTTAAGATAAACTTTGCTGTACTTATTTTGAATGTATTTAAGCTGGAACTTAACCCAGAGTAAAGAAAAAAAAGACTGAGACTAGAGAACGCATAAAAATGCAGTTCCTTCCTTGTCTGCATGCAGTATGGTTCTTGCACGTGTTAACAAGATTGGCAAACCCTAGAAGCTTCAGAAGTTTGGTTCAGATAAATTTGTCAGGGCTTCTTTTGTCTGTATGCTCTTCTGCAAATTGCAAGTAAACAGGCGTTTGGTGTAGCTTTCAAATATTTGGGCAATGTGCCTTTTGGAGGAATCTTTTTTTTTTTTCCTTTGGGCTTAATGGACCGTAATTTTGGAAAGATGTATGCTTCTTATCTTTCCAAACCACTGTGTGTGTTCTTAGCTTATGATGAGCTTATAAATAAAGTCGTATAACTTAAAACTCTTATTGTGGAATTCTACACAAGCAGCCAAATCCTGATCCTGTAGAAGCAACTGGCAAAAGCTTACTGGTTCAGGTAGCAGCAGGCTTGGGTTCTGCTGCAACTTGTCATTAAAATTCTTGAAAGTCATACACACCATGGACATAACCTCCCAGCTATTTAATGGACTTTCATCGCTGTTTGTTCCTTGTGCCAAAGAAAGATTAATTCACTGTCAAAATTCGGCATTGAAGTATCGTTTTGTGGTTCCATTAAAGTCAATAATTTATTGTGTTAATTATGTAATGATTGCTAAAGGTTCTCTAAAACCTCCTAGGACCCAATGATTCCTTTTATCGAAAAATCAATTATATAGTTCACTTCCAATTCACAGTTATTTAATTCTTCATTTTTTAGCACTTGATGAGTTAATTGTACATCTTCAAAAATCTCTACCCGTTCCAAAATTAGCTCCAATAATTTAGGTTTTAAAAAGCACTATGATAGTAGTACTGCAAATAATTTTTACTGATGAGATTCAGATCTTGTTTTGGTCACTTTCCTCAGTTAGGTAAAGGTGTTATAAAATCTCCTGAGTACGCCAAGCCTGCTGCCAAAATCCTGCCGTTTACCACCAGACAAAATAGATGAGCGGCTGTGTGTGTATGTTGGACAGAAATGACATCTAGTGGTGATGCTCAGCATTTCTCTGTATTCCCAGTAGAGCTCCAAGTAATTGCCACTGCCTGTTTGTCTCGATACACCATCCGGCATAAATCATGTCGTGGTTGACCATGCTCTGGTTGCTTTTATAAAACAACAGCTTTTTGGGTGCTTTATGAGCTACCTTCTGAAAACCTTTAAAACAAATTAGAACTCAATTTGTGGGAAGAGTTGAAAAATCTATTGTAATATTATTAGGCTGAATTGGGAATTAATTTTTTTCCTCTTTATGGTATCCTCTGATAGGCTAGAGAGGATACTAAGTCTCCTACTCTTGTACTGTCTATCTTTTTACTATCCTGGACAAAAGTGGAAAAGCCACAAAGTGCTGTAAAAACTGGCACACAGGGGCACTAAAGTTATATTAGAGATGTTTCTGATCTTGTTATTCATACTCCGTCAATGGCAGACAGCTTAAAAACAGGCCCGGGAGCACTATGTAGAGCCAAGTGTCACATCGCTGCTAGGAGAGAGTTCAGCCAGTGGTTTACTGCAGACTGGGGACTCTTGACTGCAGGTGAAAACAAAATAAATGCTGTGCGTGTCGGAAATGCTTGGCAGACCAGCAATAAAGCGATCAGAAAAACCTCCGTGTAAGGGTCTGTCATCACTGGTTGGCAGAGGGGATATGTTGGTGCTTGCTGGCTTGGGTAAGGGTGACAGATGTCTTTCACCCAGGGCAGGAAGAAATACATCTTGGGAGGGCAGGGGGGCCGGGGGTGCAGGGAGGGAGGCCAAGGCTTAGCCTATCTTTGGTCCTTTGAATAAGCACTTGGGTTATTTGTGGCTTAGGGCCAGTGTTACTTAACACATTGCAGGGCTGAGCTCTCGGTGTTTTCTTCCCAGAGAAGAGCTTTTTGAGCTTAAAGGGGGAAAAAAAAAAAAAAGAAAAAAAAAAAAAAAAAGGACTTTATTGCCTATTTCTTTCCCCAGCGCTCTATGAGAAAGCAGTCACACTGTTCTTCGTAAGGCTTTGTTTTGCATGATGTCTCAATCACACAGATGCCTGACAATGTTGTTTATGTGCCTGGTGGGTTTGGGCTGTGAGCTGAGAACTGCTCCGGCAGTGTGGCAAGGATGCGCAGTGCTCTGGTCCAGCCAAGCCATTACTGGACCTGGGGGAAGAGGCTGCAAAGTCCCCCCATATATTTTCACTCTGTGTTTTCATTAGGCTTGTTTCAACAGCAACGGTTCACCAGTGGGCTTGTGCTCTGTGACACTGTGACTTTGCACATGACTGGTGAAAGGGTTTACAGAACCCAGACTTTAAATTTGCACAGAAAAATGTCTGCCACGCTTGCACATTCATCTGCCAAGCAAACAAACCAGATTTCATTGACCAGTCAAAATTAAGCAACGCAGGGCAAATATCAAGTACCTGTGTAGAAATTATATTCTTTGTAAACATTAAAAAACAGAGGTAGAAGTAGTCATACCAAAGAACCTGCAGACTATTTTCATCCATCTGTAAGCATGGAGATGCTGTGACCTCTGGGGCAACGTGCATTTAATAGAAGACACACAGAAAAAAGGGTAGGTCTGTGCTAGAGATATGCAGAGTGCCAATAAAACTGGAATACCTTGCAGACACCATTGAAAGTTTCCCCTTTCCGCCTCCCCTAGAAACATCTGCTGGTGCAGATGCTCTGCCTGTGTGTGAGGAAGAGGTTCCCTCTGGTTTTGCTTCCTGGGAGAATGACCTAAATATTTCAAAGCAACATAGCAAGTCAGCGTTGGGCTGAAATGCTACTGAGAGCCCCATCTGCCTTCCCGTTTGGAGGTCCGTACCTCTAGACTTGTTATTATTCTCCTCCTCACTGGCCAGGTCTGCTGGAGCTGAAAGCTTCACTTGGAATTGTACCGACAGTAAGAGCAAAGTACAAGAGTGGAGCATTGTTTCAGCATTTGCTTAACCTTCAGGCACTCACTCGATGAATAATTATTTGCTTGATCGGGCACTTACACTGCCATTCCTGTTTGATTGCAGTCCGTGATGCTCCTGTTGCACAGCCAGCGCCGCTACATCTTCGAGTACGACCAGTCTGACTACCTGCTCTCGGTCACCATGCCCAGCATGGTGCGCCATGCCTTGCAGACCATGCTGTCCGTCGGGTACTACCGCAACATCTACACCCCTCCGGACAGTGGCGCGGCGTTCATCCAGGACGTCACCAGAGACGGACGGCTTCTGCAAACGTTATATCCTGGGACGGGACGCAGAGTCCTTTACAAATACACCAAACAGTCCCGACTTTCCGAGATTCTTTATGATACTACTCAAGTCACGTTCACCTACGAGGAATCTTCTGGGGTTATTAAAACAATACATTTAATGCACGATGGGTTCATCTGTACCATCAGATACAGGCAAACAGGTTTGTGTAACTGTGACTACGCTGCTAAAGTTTTTGACCCTGATCCTGCACTTACTTGGCATGAAATTCTGTTCTTTTTATGTCTACAAGTTCTTATATTTTATGTTTTATGTTTCAATAGAAAAATATGTGTGTATATCTCTATGTCTGTGTCCATAGGCCTATATAGCTGTCCCATTTGAAATACCGTTTTCTTTTTATTGCTTGGTATGGAATAGCTCTTATAATGTTTGATTGTTTTTATTCCACTGTGTGGATATTTGCTAAATACTAAATCAAGTTGTTTTATTGTTTGTATTTTCAAGTTTCCCTGTTTATACCGTAATAAATTCAAAATAAATAAATTCAAAAGGACTGTTTATATGAGGAAGGATATCACCATGTAAAATAAATTTAGTTTAGAATTATCTTGTAACTAAATAGAAATCATAATTATGAATAAAATAGCATTCATTTAAACAAATGTTAATAAAATATAAATATTTTGTAGAGCAAACATTCATAAGGGTTTGTGAGAGAATAATCTAACGTATTCTTAGTTAATGGTATTTTCTGAGACAGTCGAGTAGCAATAAGGCTTAAGGGTATATTTGAGTTCATTGCCTGTGCTAGATCTGCAGGGTAACTATATTGTAGACATAATTCATTATTTTTCTTTTTTCTCGTCTTTGTTTTGTTTTGGACAGGTCCGCTTATTGGTCGACAGATCTTCAGGTTTAGTGAAGAAGGGCTTGTAAATGCCAGATTTGACTACAGCTATAACAACTTCCGTGTCACAAGCATGCAGGCCATGATAAACGAGACGCCACTTCCCATAGATCTGTACCGTTACGTCGATGTTTCTGGCAGGACTGAACAATTTGGAAAATTCAGTGTCATTAATTATGATTTAAACCAAGTTATAACCACCACTGTGATGAAACATACCAAAATTTTTAGTGCCAATGGTCAGGTGATTGAAGTACAATATGAAATTCTCAAATCGATCGCTTACTGGATGACCATCCAGTATGATAATATGGGTCGTATGGTGATCTGTGATACACGCATAGGTGTAGATGCCAATATAACTCGATACTTCTATGAATATGATGCTGATGGTCAACTTCAGACTGTGTCTGTGAACGATAAAACCCAGTGGCGCTACAGCTATGACCTTAATGGCAACATCAACTTGCTGAGCCATGGGAACAGTGCACGCCTCACTCCTCTGAGATACGATCTGAGAGATCGCATTACCAGACTTGGAGAAATTCAATATAAAATGGACGAAGATGGTTTTCTCAGGCAAAGAGGCAATGAGATCTTTGAGTACAACTCTAACGGTCTGCTGAACAAAGCATACAACAAAGTGTCTGGCTGGACTGTGCAGTACTGTTACGATGGTCTTGGAAGACGAGTTGCAAGCAAATCAAGCCTAGGACAACATTTACAGTTCTTCTATGCTGATCTCTCCAACCCAATAAGAGTTACTCACTTGTACAATCATACGAGCTCGGAAATAACATCCCTATATTATGATCTTCAAGGTCATCTCATTGCCATGGAATTAAGCAGTGGAGAAGAATATTATGTTGCTTGTGATAACACTGGAACACCTCTAGCTGTATTTAGCAGTCGGGGCCAAGTCATAAAAGAAATTTTGTACACCCCATATGGAGAGATCTACCAGGACACTAATCCAGATTTCCAGGTTATCATTGGTTTTCATGGAGGGCTCTATGATTCTCTTACTAAATTAGTTCATCTGGGTCAGCGGGACTATGATGTCATTGCTGGTCGGTGGACGACACCAAATCATCATATATGGAAACACCTGAATGCTGTTCCACAACCATTTAATCTCTACTCATTTGAAAATAATTACCCAGTTGGCAGAATCCAAGATGTTGCTAAGTATACAACAGGTAAAAGTAACAAGTTTCTCATTAAAATACATCTTTTTATCAAATTCTGGTATGGATTCAAGACTCCAGAAATCTTTTGTGTACATCCAAAGTTACTATTTGGCTTTAATTTTACATATATTAAAGTCGTGTATTTAATAGATAACATCTTACTGAGCTTGATCTGTTTTCTACAGCCTTTATGGTAACCAAGAAAATAATTAGTACTTGTTTATGCTGCTTTTCTAAGTGTTAAAATTAAGGGAAGAATGGAGGCAGCTTAATTTAATTTTTTTCTATTATAAATAAATAGAAGGTATGCTATTGATTTGAGTATAGCTATGCTTCTTAATCGAATAATTTGTTTGCTACAATAAATGCTGTAACCAGTACTGAAAACATAAATTTATGTGAAATCATTATTTCTGTGTAGCTGAGATTTCTGCAGACTACCCTCACTTTGTTCTTGGATTTATGTGCCTTATTGCCAGCATCCTTTTGTTGCTTTGCAGACATTGGAAGTTGGCTAGAGCTGTTTGGTTTCCAGTTGCACAACGTACTACCTGGGTTCCCAAAACCGGAGATAGAAGCTTTGGAGACAACCTATGAACTTCTACAGCTTCAAACAAAAACCCTAGAGTGGGATCCTGGAAAGGTCAGCAAAAACTCTGTTCAGCTGCTTCTAATACTAAATTCAGGAATTTTATTAGAAAATGTTGGAGACCAAGGAAACAATATGACTGTATCTTTCAACATAATAGGCAAGGCAAATAGTCTAACAATGCTAGAAACTTTGATGTTGTCAATTGCATTCTGGAATCAGAGTAGAGTTTTAATGAGAAGCTTTCAGCAACACAGTGAAGGAACTTTGCAGCGGTTTACAGAAACACTATCCAAATTTGAGAGGCAGGATATGCCAAAGGGTAAAATTGTTTATGTGAAAACTGAAAAAGCTACAAAAAAATTGTGGAATTACAAAATTAAACCAACAGATTTTCACCTTTGTTAGCAAGGATGCCACAAGAGATGCAAAATCACTGAGGGTATAAACAGCTTTGTAAGTCTACACCTCTGCATAGTTATTGCAGGAAAACAGAAATGTGGCTGTGGATTTGTAGGTGGATCTGTAAGACTAAACCTTGCTCTGGGGCTCATTTTCAGTAAAGAAGAGCCATTGCAGCAGCTGTCAGGGTCCAGCAATCAATGTAACTGCAACAGGACCAACTGCCGATATTCTGAGCAGGCGTTCGTGTTTTGCATTTGGCCATATGAGCATCTGTTAACAAAGAAAGATGAGTTTGCAAAGATGAGAGAGAAAAGATGCCTTTCACAGAATCACAGAATCACATTCCTCTAATGTAGTCAGGAAAAGGAAGTATAAAGTGTTGGGAGTTCACATTCATAGCATTTAACACACCTCTTTTCCCATGCACAGATGACTGCACAGAGTGCAGAGGGCTGGAGAGTCAGAGCTCATTCCAGATGGAGGAGCATGTCCGTGTAAAATTGTCACTGAGATATGAAAGAAGCTATCACGAAGGCACAGAAGTGTAGTGATAGGTATAGTGTTGAAAGACAAATAGATGGCTGGAGTGAGATTTTTTTTTTAGCCTCAATGGGGAGCAAGATCTACAGATCTGATATACTCTCCTGGTTCCTATTGTTCTAGTATCTTGAGACCTCTACAGCCTGCTTTCCTTAAAGAATGGGCTATAAAAACTGTTTCTGCTGTTTTACAAAAGACATAATTAGACGCACAGAGACTAAGCACAGAATCACGTGAAAGAGCACAGCTTTGAGTTCAGGTTCCCCCACGCCTAAGAGCTGAACAACCAGCCACTCTAGTAGCAATTCCAGGGGGGAGGAAGGTATCTTGAGACCTCTACAGCCTGCTTTCCTTAAAGAATGGGCTATAAAAACTGTTTCTGCTGTTTTACAAAAGACATAATTAGACGCACAGAGACTAAGCACAGAATCACGTGAAAGAGCACAGCTTTGAGTTCAGGTTCCCCCACGCCTAAGAGCTGAACAACCAGCCACTCTAGTAGCAATTCCAGGGGGGAGGAAGAAAAAAAAATTTGAGTTCAGGTTCCCCCACGCCTAAGAGTTGAACAACCAGCCACTCTAGTAACAATTCCAGGGGGGAGGAAGAAAAAAAAAAAGGAAGAATAAATACAAAAATAGCATTTGTGATAAACACGTTTTCATTTGTTTTCTAGAAGCGAAAGAGTCCAAGAGACAGAAAGCAATACCTTAGGCAATTAGAAAGCCTGTGCATACGCCCAGGCTCTGTAGAAGTGCACGATATTTTCCAAACAAATTAAAGATCCACTCTAAGCAATTAAGAGATTAGTAGGGTTTGTGAGACACTATAATGAACTGCACGATGCCTCGCCTCCAAACTACTGATATTTTCTTTTCCAGACTATCCTCGGTATTCAATGTGAGCTACAAAAGCAACTCCGAAACTTTATATCCTTGGACCAACTTCCTATGACACCCAGGTATAGTGATGGCAAGTGCTATGAGGGAGTGAAACAACCGAGATTTGCTGCTGTTCCTTCAGTATTCGGAAAAGGCATCAAATTCGCTATAAAGGATGGGATAGTGACAGCTGACGTCATAGGTGTGGCTAACGAAGACAGCCGGCGCATCGCTGCCATCCTCAACAACGCGCACTATCTGGAGAACCTGCATTTCACCATCGAGGGCCGAGACACGCATTATTTCATCAAGCTGGGGTCTTTGGAAGAAGATTTGGCCCTCATCGGCAACACTGGAGGACGCCGCATCTTGGAGAACGGCGTCAACGTCACAGTGTCGCAGATGACTTCCGTGATCAACGGAAGGACTAGACGCTTTGCTGACATCCAGCTCCAGCACGGCGCACTGTGCTTTAACGTTCGGTATGGAACGACGGTGGAAGAAGAAAAGAACCATGTCTTAGAGATAGCCAGGCAGAGAGCCGTGGCTCAGGCCTGGACTAAGGAGCAGAGACGGCTGCAGGAAGGGGAAGAAGGTATTAGGGCATGGACAGATGGAGAGAAACAGCAGCTTTTAAGCACTGGGCGGGTACAAGGCTATGATGGATATTTTGTTTTATCTGTGGAGCAGTATCTCGAACTTTCTGACAGTGCCAATAATATTCACTTTATGAGACAGAGTGAAATAGGCAGAAGGTAACAAAGAAAATCTCTGCCTTTGCGTCACCAAAGACTGCCTGTTTTTAAACGTAAAATGGTTTATTGTATTGGTTTTTCTAGATCAGAACTCTGTATATGTAAATATAGAGGAAAAAAAACATATCCAACTGCCTTTAAATGTGACAGAAGATGGTATTTTAATATTGTTTGTTTAACTCTTTGAGAGATGACAGTGACGATTTTTAGTTCTTGTGTGGCAGTATTCAAAAATTTCAGAGGCAGAGTCCTGACCGCTGAGCAGCGCGACCCACGCGCGAGGTTCCCGAGGTGACACCAGACGTCCCTGCGGGGTAGGGGAGAGCGCAGCGTGCTCTGCCTTCTTCTAAAGAAACACGACTTTTTTGTTGTTGTTGATTTAGTAATTCATCATTTAAGAGGTAACAGAGCCTCATTCTGCAACCTGTATTTACTGGGTAGTTTTCATCCCAGTGAGATCTCCCGTAAGTTCAAAGGGATTGGATACAGAAACCAGACTGTCTATGGAAACTTCATAGTCGCTCACCCACCCCGCACACGTCATTCCTCACAGACATGATCTAAGGGATTTTCTAGCCTGGGAAACCCAGCTTGTACTGGACACAGTGTGTAAAAGGCTGTCCCGCGTGGCCTTTAGCTTTGGCCAGCCGTAGCCACCTCTCAGCTGCTCAGTGACGAACGTCACATTGCATCTACTTTTGCACATGGAGGTCTCTCTCCCAGGGTTTCCCTCGGCACTGGGTTATGCTGGAGCCCGGCAGCACATGTAGAGCTGTTGATCTTCTCAGCATTAGGAGTGGCCAAAGAAGGGCTTTGTGAGCGCTGTAGTCAACAGGAGTCTCTCCGCTGACATCAGTGTTCTCTAGACCAGGCTTTAAGTCAGTGCTTTTGGGACAACCCAGCTGGGAGGGCCTACAGGGCGCACGAACGAGCCGTGCAGATCAGTCCTGTCTGTATTCATTGGGCCAGGACTTGTCTTTTCACAGATCATATGGAAATTGCAGTGTTGTTGGGTTTAGGCATCATGTTCTTTTAATCTCAAATTAATAATCCTGTTGTATTACTCATTTTTTTGAGTCTGAAGAAGATTGGTGGGTTGGGAGTTGATGAACCTCAGTGTGGACACTAAATATGTTGATAAAAGTAGAACATTTTGGGGATGACTCTTCTCTCAGCTCAATATCTAGAGCACATAGAAAAGCATTATATTGCATGGGCAGAAATTTTTATTTCCCAAGGTACCATGTGCTGCTGGCACAGTTATTTCATAGCAGAGTAGGTGATCCTTCTTTCAGCTTGTCATTTTTAAAAGACCTGATTATCAGCAGGGGCAGGAGGGCACACAGGGAGGGGGGGACAGGTAAACAGATTTCCTTTACTGACTTTCAGAGGGAGCTAGAAGTCTTGTTATAGAGCCTGTGTATCCGTAACAGTGATGATATTGCACATTTCTTTCAAAACAGATACAATAAATATAGTGACACAATTTCTGCTCGTATTTATGGAAGCCAACAAAGTGCTTTCTTTGTCTTTCTTCCTTTCTTTCCAGCTTTCTTTTTTTTCCCTTGTTTTTTTGGGCAAGTGGAGCAGACTGTACCAAAGTTAGAGATGAGCCTGAACTGGCACCTGAGACCTGACCCCCCCTCAGGGGTTTGGACTCAGGTCTCAGCCTCACACCATGAACGTCTCTTTCCAGACTCCTTCCGCTCCCCCGGGAGCCAGCGCAGCTTTGGGGGTGCACCTAAAACCACCCTCTACTCCCCAGCCAGGGGAAATCGTGGACCAAAATCTGCACATACGCATTTTTGCTCGGGCTCATCATTAACTAATGTACAGAATTGGGAGCTGACAACATCCAGGTTTGACAGCTCTGATTTCCATAATTTTCCATACAATCATGGAGAATTTGAATACCTCCACACCAGCCTAAAAATGGACCTTCAAATCCTTGAGCCTCTAATATGCTTTTAATCAATGGAAGAATAATTTATGAATTGTATATAGAGAGTGCATTCATAAGCGTGATGATGTATTTTATCACTGATCCAAGATGTCAATATTAGAGTCTATTTTACTTATATTTTAAGCAATTATACTTTTTTGCAATTCACTGATGAGGTATCATTTTCAGACTGCTTTAAATATCCATTATAATAAACAAATATTTGAAGCTATTAGAATTACCTTGAACTGTGCATTTCTAGTATGTAATACATATTTAGTTAGCTTGTGCCTTTAGTTTCTTAAAGTTATATTTGTATTATATGCAGGAAATGCACTTTGTATTACCTACAGCTGTGTTTTTTAATACTGCCTTGATTACTGTTGTTCTCATATTATGCCAAAAGGTCAAAGAGTAAAACGTGTTACAAGTTTGTCGCTGAAAGTAGATTTGGCATTTTCCCAGTTCCTGGGTGCAGTCTAAAGTTCATTTTTGAACAATATTTCTTATGTGAATATGGATGTATAAAGAATCACATGACATTACGTGGCCCGGTTACAAAAGAAAAAAAAAAAAAGCCTTCATCGTAACAGTTTCAGAAATTTAGGAAACTAAATAAAAATGTCTTGTTGAGATGACAGTGCTACAGAAACAAGTTATTACAGAAAAGAACACTGGAGACTGACATCGTAGCTACACGTGGGCCAGCCAGCAGTGATTCATGAGAACTATAGCAAACAAATAGCTTTGGACCATCTTGTTCCTGAACAACCTCAGATAGAGGCAGGGACTATTTCAGTCTCCATGTGTTTTTTCTTAGTAGCTAGACCAATTTCACAGTGTTGGTTTTTGCAGTTTTGTTGTTCGTTTTTTTTTTTTTTTTTACTTTTGCACTATAGCCTAGAGACCCAAATGAGAAAAAGCAAAAAAGAAAATTAATGGCATGGAAATTTTTACTGTTATTTAGATCAGATAATTTGATGCTAGCGTTCTGCACTGCAAACAAAGTTCTGAAAGGGGGAAAAAAAAAACCTAAAGTAAACTAAATAAAATAAAATAAAATAAAAGAAAACCACTGTTGCACACTATCCTGTAGCAGAGCACCTACCATGAGAAATACGTGCTATATTTTTTATGACAGCCAAACAAATAGTGTGTACAAGTAATGTTTCCTTTGCTTTCATATTTATTTAGCAAATCTAGAA